ACAGTGTCTTATAAGCTGTGATGGTTAGTATTACCAACTTGTCAGACTCAAAAATTACAAGGAAGACAAGCCTCTGGCCATGCATGTGATAGATTACCTTGATTGCATTAACTGATTCAGAAAAACACACCTTAATTGTGAACTGGAACATTCCTTAAACTAGGAGCCCTGAACTGTGCGCAATGGGAAAAGGGAGCTGAGCAATGTGCATTAATTCATTGCTGTGCCTGTGATGTGACCAGCTTCTTTAGGCTCCTGCTGCCACGACATCCCTGCCATGATGGATTGTAACTGGGAATTGAAGCTGAGCAAACCCTTTCTCCATTAGGTTGCTTTTGCAGTATATTTTATCATAGCAACAGGAAAGGAACTAAGACATAAGCCTTCAGCAAGGTCTCTAGATATATACTTGTAATGAGAAAGAGGAGCCACGCCCACCCACACTGTTACTTGTCAGTGATTCCCATCCCTACAGGAATGGGAGTGAGTGATGTAACTCCTTTAGCTCAGACATTTGTTGCAAAAGGAACAGTAAATATTCATTGTTAGGAACTGTGTTTTCTTAGGGGCCAAGTAAAGAAATGGTACAGGTTCCTCTCTACTTGTCTGGAGGGGCATAGGTAAGAGCTGGTCACCAAAAAGAATGTTCCCTAATTTGCAAGACAAAGTTGGCTTTGGTGGTGAATATGAGAGTAAAGTCACCAAATACCTTTCCCCAGGTACATAAAGCTTTTGTTAGTACAGCACCAGTTAGAGGTTGAAAGGGGCCCTGTGAGATGTCCTGGGTTAGACTTTTAGCTTTATTTTCCTGATGCATGAAATTTCTTCTGGTGTCTACTGGAACCCATTCAGATAGCTTTTCATAGGTGAGAATAGTAGGTAACCTGTGGTTTCGGAGCAGGAACAGCCCTTTGAAGGAAATCCATGTGATTTCCCTTGGCGAAAGTGGATTGTCCATGGGCTCCATGTTTAGGTACCAAGACCATAGATGCAAAGATACAGCCCTTACCTCAAAGGGAAGATGAGATGGTTTACTTTAAAGTGAGATATGCATGGCCATGTCCTGTGAACACATATTTAGACTACCCCAAGCCCCGTGTCCCTATGTAGTAACAGTTTTATATAGCTTTTACTTTACGAACAGACACTTTAAAATACATGGTAGAAACATCCTGTAGACAGGTTATGGCAAAGCAGAGAAATCTGTTATGGTTCTCAGATGCTGTCTGATGATACTCTTTGCCTTTGTATTGGTAGAGCCTAAGAGAAGAGAGGGTAAGGGGAGGAGGCTATAACTTCCCTGACACACATGGACCTCTTAGGAGTGGGATATTCACAATGTCAGGATCTATATTGGAGTCCCTTCCTTCTGGGCTTCTTTGGCTCCTGATGTGGAAAGTCAATGCAATATGGAATATGATATATTTATTTACCAGAATAAGAACTTACACACAAAAGGCTGGGGAGTCAGAAGCGTGGCAGGCTTCCAGAGGAAGAGAGAAGAGGGATTTGTTTCTCTTTCACTTCCTTTTATCTCCATCTGTCCTAAATTTCCTTATCCCCGCCCTTAGGGCAGATAGCTTTGTGGGGCTTACCCCTACAGGCTCCTTTCTAAACCAAGTGTTCTCAGTAAGATACCATGAAGGCCTGTATGTATGATATCTCTGATCATTTGACTTGTCTCATAAAGTCTAAGTCTAATTTACTACAGCATATAACTAAGGCTGCCATGAAACACCCACTGCTCCAGTTTGTCTAATTTATATTGTAACCAGACTGTATTGTAGGAAAGTTAAAAAGGTGCTTTCTCTTAGCTTACCTAGATCAAGTTGTTTTTGCTAGTTAAGTATGTAGCCAATTGGAGATTTCGATGGGATTGAGGGAGTATTCTAATAGATCTATGGACAAGGAGGGCAGAGGTCATGAAAAGTCTAAAAATTCCTTTTAGAGGCTTCCCTCTCCATGGCTCAGTCTTAAGATGCCAGACCCTTTGGGTCTTAGATGGACATAGATACCTTTTCCTTAGAGTGACCTCTCCTGATTATGTCTGGTCTCCAAACATGACAGTCTTCCTTAGAATTCTGGATCCCCTGCAGATGATTGTGAGCTACCATGTGGGTGTTGGGAACCCAGACCTAGTCCTGAAAGAGCAGCCAGCACTCTTAACTGATGATCCATCTCTCTAGCCTCACTACATTGATTTTAAATTCCAGCAGAACACTAGGGTTTCCTCCTTGCTGCACCAGTGTCCTCTCAAAGGCCTTTTTGTCTGTCAGTGTTTTGATCATAACATTGACCACTGTGCTCTGGCTGTAGGGGTTCTGCAATGTGTTCTGGGATGTGTACACTCCACGATGGAAGTTTACTAGAGCCCAGGCTGTGAAGTAGGCACTGGAAAAGTGTGCTTAAATATTCTTCTGGGAATAAATGGAGATCTGTGCCTCCCCAACCATCCCTGTATTCATGATAGAGATTTGAGACCATGAAAGTATGCCCACTTAGGACATTTGTTTTTCTAGGATCCAATGTAATGTGCTCATGTCCTGTTGCCTTTGCTCCCAAAACTTGGAGATTTGGCGTGTGTTAAAGTTGAGATACTCAGTACATGGCAAATTCCACCTTGGGAACTGAAGGACCTGGGAGATGTCAATGTGGTGGGCAGTGGGAGAGAGCTCAGGGTATGTAGAGTTCCCAGGCAAGCTGCCAGGGGCCTACTAACCTTTGCTGAATTAACTCTCTGGGGCAGGCTATATAAAAGCTTAGTTGTCAGCTCAGCAATTAGCAGACTGTTCTGATATATCCCTTCCAGGGATAAGCTGGGTCTACTCTGCATTGATCCCATGGGTTGAAGCCAAGGGGACCGCTTATAAGCCCATACAAAGCCATGAGTTAATTCTGTTGTCTAGGCAGACTCATACTTGCCTAGATCTGTGCCCTCCCAGTGCAAGATGAATTAAGATATACCCATAGAAGACTACAGAGATAGGTGCCATATGCATTTTCAAAATCTTCTGTTGGCGTTATTTGTTAGGATCATTTCTCAATGACGTGCCGTGTTGCCCAAAGAATTCTTGTCCAGGTGTGCATCTGCTTTCCCTACCCATTTGATGGGGTGGGGTGGAGGGGTCACAGATTCTTAGTACACAGAAGTCTGTCACTCATTTTTGCCTTGGAGAGAGACTTGAAACCTATGTACATGTTCATTCAGATTGTTTATGAATGGAGTAAGGATACACAGCATTGTGCCTGCTGGACATACTGTACCATAGTCCTGTGCTACCAGCCCCAACAGCTGCCTTTCATTGGCTTGTTCCTTCTTTTCAGGCTTAATTTAATTTTTATGGTTACATTTATGTAGACTGTTACTCTGTGTGTGTGTGTGAGAGAGAGAGAGAGAGAGAGAGAGAGAGAGAGAGAGAGAGAGAGAGAGAGAGAGAGATGTGGGGTGGTACATGCACATAAATGTTCAAGCATACATACACATATGATATGGAAGCCAGAGATAGACATTAGGTGTCTTTCTCATCACTCTCCATTTTGTTTTCCTGAGAGACCATCTCTCACTGAACTGAAAGCTCACTATTTCACCACTCAGGCCAGCAAGCTCTCAGGATCCACTAGTCTCTATCTCCCCCCCACACACACACCAAGTGCTGGGGTTGCAGATATACAGCCATGCCTTAGCTTTTTATGTAGGCTCTGGTGATTCAAGCTTGGGTCTGAACATTTGCATAGAAAATGCTTTTTACCCACTACACCATCTCCCCAACCCCTATTCCTTTTTTAAAAACTTTAGTTTATGTATATGAGTATCTTAGTTTGGGGTTCTATTGCTATGACAAAACACCATGACTAAAGCAACTTGGGGGGGGATTTATTTGGCTTAAACTTGTACATCATAGTCCATCATTGAGTGAAGTCAGGACAGGAACTAAAGCAGGACTGGAACTGGGAGGCAGGAGCTGATGTAGAAGCCATGGAGGGGAGATGCTTACTGGCTCTCTTCTTATGGCTTGCTCAGTCTGCTTTCTTCCAGAACCCAGACCTACCAGCCCAAGGATGGCACTACCCACAATGGTCTGGGCCATGCACCATCAACCACTAATTAAGATAATGCCCTACAACCCAACTTTTTTTTTCTTGCTTACTTTTGTTTGTTTGTTGGTTTGTTGTTGGTTTCGTTTTTGTTTTTAGTTTTGTTTTTGAAACAGGGTTTCTTTGTGTAGCCCTGGCTGTCTTGGAACTGGCTCTGTAGACCAGGCTAGTTTCGAACTCACAGAGAGTCACCTGTCTCTGTCTCCTGAGTATTGGGACTAATGTGCCCCCACTACCCAGCATTTTTGGTTTTTCAAGACAGGGTTTCTCTGTGTAACCTTGGCTGTCCTGGAAGACCAGGCTGGCCCCAAACTCACGGAAATCCACCTCTACAACCTCACTTATGGAGCAATTTTCTCAATTGAGTTCCCTCCTCTCAGATGACTAGTTTGTGTCAAATTGACATAAAACTATCCAGCACAATTAATATTTTACCTACATGTATTTATATACCCCATGTACATGCCTGATGCCCACAGAGGTCAGAAGAGGGTGTTGACTCCCCCAGAGCTAGAGTTCTTGATGACTGTGAGCTGAACCTGGGTCCTCTGGAAGAGTAGCCAGTGCTCTTAACAGTACCTCCATTACTTTAATTCTATTTTTAAAGTAATAAAAATTCTCATCCATATGTATTCATCTTTGAATTTTGTTTTTACTGTGATTCCTAGGAAACTCAGTAATTTTTTTCAATCCATAAATTAACTGGAGGTAGGATATATATCAAGCTGTACCTTCTATTAAGCACTAGCAAGACAGTAGTATGTGGGGTGTGTGTGTGTGTGTGTGAGAGAGAGAGAGAGAGAGAGAGAGAGAGAGACAGAGACAGAGACACAGAGAGAGAGAGACAGACAGAGACAGACACAGAGAGAGAGATACATGGGTTGACAAGAGGTGTGTCATTACAGGGGTTGGTGTCATTTGAGGATGTGGCTGTGGACTTCACATGGCAGGAGTGGCAGGAGCTGGATGCTGCTCAGAGGACCCTCTACAGGGATGTGATGCTGGAGAACTACAGCAGCCTGGTGTCCTTGGGTGAGTCTGATTACTCTGTAACTCTCAGTAGCAATTGCTTTCTTCTTTGTTGATAAGTCTGTTCATACTAATGGGTATTATATAGTTAACTGACATGTAGTACTTGGGCCATACAGCATTAGAAATTATTCCACTCTTTCACTGTACCCCGAGATGTAGTGACCACCCCCTCCCCTATTCCTTTCCCATATGCTGTAACCACTGTTCTGTTCCTTACTTCTTTTGAGTTCAAGTGTAATGAGAACATGCAGCATTGTCCTTTTGGTTTTCTCTTTCTTTCCTTATTTCTTTCTTAGCTTTTGTTTTTGTTTTTTACCAGCTATATTTTACTTGTTCATTGTGGCTTTCCTGGAGAGACATAGAGGAAATTCTGCCCACCATAAATAAGAGGGAGTTGACAGAAGTATCTGTCAGTTCCCCTTCCTGGAGCTCCAAAGCTAGTTTATTAACAGACCATGCAGTTGGGCAAGAGGAAGCCATTGTTGGAATTTCATGTGAGGTGTTAATGACTGTCTTAAGAGGGAATGTTAACTTTCCATTACTATTATAGACCATTGGTTCCCAACCTTCCTAATGCTGTAACCATTTAATGTAGTTCCTCGTGTTGTGGTGACCCAATCATAAAATTACTTTCATTGCTACTTAATTAACTGTAATTTTGCTGCTGTTCTTTTTTTGTGATCTCTCTCTTTCTCTGTTTCTCTTGAATTGGTGAGTTATAATTCCAGTGCCTCTGTTGTTGTTGTTTTCTTCACTTCTTCTGTTCCTTCCAAGTTTCTGACATCATTACACTGGGTTATGTGTCATACAATTTAATTCCCCAAAGGAAGATATTCCGGTGAGTGAATCCCTCTCTAACACAAGTTCTAATTCAGCCATTGTGGCAAAGATCCTGAAATGGGACTGTTGTCCTTTGTCCATGAACCTGACTTGGCACAAATCTTTTATTATTTCCCATTTACAGGAAACTGTTTAGACAAACCTGAGTTGATCTCCAAGTTGGAACAAGGATTGGTGCCGTGGAGTGGTGCAGAAGCCACAGAGCAATACCAACCAGGTGAGTCAATGCTATTGGGCAAGAGTCAGTAAGAAATGAGTTCCTCGACTATTGGTCATATTAAGATGTTTACATCAACTTTTGTCAAAGCCAGACCGGAAGACAATGAACTCTTGAACCAGACACTTACTTTATATACTTTCCAAATCAGGGGCTTCATGTCAGACCATTTCCTGTTTTGGTTTGATTTGGTTGTTGTTTCCCTATTTTTCTTTTTCTTTTTTCTTTTCAGTGCTAAGGATCATTCCTTATATTCCTTATGCATTCTTTATGCATCCTAGGAAAACACTCTAGCAACTGAGCTCTGTCCCCACCTCTACCTCTCACCTGTCCTTTCCTCCTTTCCACAGACTAGTTTCTATTTTGCATTTGTTGACATTTCGCTGTTTGTTTGGTTTTTGGGGTTTTTTGTTTTTCACAGTTTTTGCTGTGTGATTAGCTTAAGAGTTGTTGTCTTTGTAATTGTTTGGATAGCAATAGTCATCACACAAACGTATCATGAGAAGGAAAAGTGAAACGAAGAAGAGTCACAAAGTTGTCAACAGGAGAATAGGAAAAAGCATAGGGTTCTATTTTAGGAAAGGCATCAAGTAAACTAACCTCCAGTGAATTACTTTCTTACAAACTAAACACTAGATCATGATTGGGTGAGTTAGGTTTTTTTGTCATCAACATAGGCCAGGGTTATCTGGCAAGAGAGGAATTTCAATGAGAAAATGTTTCCATCAAATTGGCCTGTAAGCAAGCCTGTGATCTATTTTCTTAATTGTTGATTAGTTCTACCTCCAGGCTCCTGCCTTGAGTTCCTGTGCTGACTTGCATCAGTGATAGAGTATAAGCAAGATGTTGAAAACAAATAAACCCTTTCCTCCCCAAGTTGCTTTTGTTCATGATGTTTTATCACAGCAACCAAAACCAGCAATCTTGTTTAATGTAGATGTACAAATGTAAAACACAGCGGCCTATAGGAAGTTTTTTAATTTAAATTAGAAACAAGCTTGCTTCACATGTCAAAGCCTAGCTGCCTCTCCCTCCCCTCCTCCCCCGCCTCCCACCAACCCACCCTATCCTCCACCCAATCTCCACTCCACGGGGGGGGGGGCATCTGAAGTCTGTCATATCATTCAAGACAGGGCCTAGGCCCTCCCCCATGAATCAGGCTGAGAGAGCATCCCTTTAAGTGGAATGGGCTTCCAAAGCCCATTCATATGCCAGGGATAAATATTGATCTGCTACCTGAGGCCCCATAGATTGCCAAGGCCTTCTCACTGACACTCACATCAGGGGGACTGGATCAGTCCTATGCTGGTTTCGCAGCTATCAGTCTGGGGTCCATTAGCTCCCCCTTGTTCAGGTCAGCTATTTCTGTGTGTTTCACCAGCCTGGTCTTGACCCCTTTACTCATCATTCCTCCTTGTCTACAACTGAGTTCCAGGAGGTCAGTTCAGTGTTTAGCTCTGGGTGTTTGCCTCTGCTTCCATCAGCTGCTGGATAAAGGCTCTAGGGTGACATATAAGATAGTCATCAATCTCATTATGGGGGGAGGGAATTTAAGGTAGCCTTTCCACTATTGCTTAGATTGCCAGTTGATGTCATCCTTGTAGATCTCTGGAAATCTCACTAGTGCCAGATTTCTCCTCAAACCTATAATGACTCCTTCTATTATGATATCTCTCATCCTGCTCTCTCTATTCTTCCCCTGACTCAACCTTCCTGCTCCCCCATGCCCCAGAAGTTTGAAGGTTACAGTTATTGTTGCAGTTACTTGTGTAATTTTTAAGAAAACAAGAAAAGCATAAATCAGAGGTTCAAGAGTAAAATGGCATTTAGGAGGTTTTGCTGATTTGGGATTGGGAAGACCAGCATATAACAAAAGAGAGAATATATTCTGAGGACAGAGAGAGAATGAACCATATGATTAAGAAGATATTGTGAGTATAGCTGAAAGACGGGAAAACAGAAAGACAATGCCAAGGAAAAAAAGGAGCCACTGAAGTCTAGCCTCATCTCTTCAGAGCAAGGGAGACAAAAAAACCACACCCAGCCTGGAGAGTGCTAGGAGCCCCAGTGCCAGTAGACCCACATCCCTCCACTCTGGAGTTGTTTAAACATCCCATCACATCTGTGCTACAGACTGTGGTGGGGAAGTCATTTGCGTTTCTCCACATTCCTTGGGTGCCATAAACAGATGCTACCTTGAGAGTGGTCCTATTATATGAGACTAAGCTGTTCTTGGAGCATGAAAGTTATAAACAATCACCAAATAAGGGAGCACTGAGCACACTTGCAGAGTTTGTAGACAGAAAATGGCCACCCTTTTGTTGACAAGCAGGATCAGGTGTTGAATCACTGAGAAGCTTAAGCCAGAGTAAATGCAAGGAGTAGGGGGTGTCTGCTGGCCTCAGCCTCTATGGTGAGGTATGAACCTGTACTAGCTGGTTTTGTGTCAACTTGACACAAGCTAGCGTCATCAGAGAAGGAGTCTCAGTTGAGGAAATGTCTCCATGAGATCCAGCTGTAAGACATTTTCTCAATTAGAGATCAGTAAGGGAGGGTCCCCAGCCTTCTGTGGGTGGTGGCATCCCCATGCTGTTGGTCCTGGGTTCTGTTAAAAAAAAAGCAGGTGAGCAAGCTATGAAGGGCAAACCAGTAAGCAGCTCCCCTTCATGGCCTCTGCATCAGCTCCTGCCTCTGGGATCCTGCCTGTTTGAGTTCCTGTCCTGACTTCCTTCAATGATCAACAGTACCCAGCACCCATAGAAAATGGAGTTGTGTGCACTGTTCAGGCAAGGGCTGATTTGCAAGCGGGTTGGGACTTTATTTTCTCTGTGGGGTTAGTATTGAGGGCTGTGGGTTCTGTCCTTGGAAGTCTTTTGCTAGTCTTTTACTATCTAGTCATCCAGTGATGAGCACACCTCTTGCTGGTCCTCTCTACCACAGCATCCTGGTGCCCCTACTTTAAGCTCTAGTCAACTGGTGGATTGGGGTCACAAGATCCTAGGAAAGCTATCTGTGGAGTCAGGAGACCTATAGGATGAGGAGAGTGGTTCTACCTAGTAACACTGGGAAATGAGATACTAGAGGAGTCTGGAATCTTGTCGAAATAGAGGGCCTACTGAGGGCATAGGGGTGCAGTATCCCAAGGAGGAAGGGTAGTCTAGCAACTATCACAGGAGAGTAGGATTCTGAAGGAACAAGACATAAAGTCTGTTGCCTAGAAGCACAAGGAAGTGAGACTGTGGGGGAGACAGGTGTCCTATGGGATGGAAAAGAGCGAGGCCTATCTGGAGGAACAAAGAAGCAATATTTCAGAGGATCCTGATGACCTATGGGGGTATGAAGGTGTGATGCCTAGCTCTCAATTTCTTATTTTAGGTTACATATAGTAAATTTTACTCTTCTAGTTTAGTGTATAGTCATATAACCATCACTGCCATAATCAAGATGTATAAAAGATGTATATGCACCCCATATATATTTTTATTAAATGTGACATTATTTAATTTCTCAGATTGATAGTCAAATTTCTACACATAGCTGTGAATATCAAATGCAAGGTTTTAATGTTGCTCTTAAGAGCATATATAACTCACTAAATGGTCATTTTAATACCATTTTAGATGTTCATAAATGGAGTGTGCTGGCTGAAACAAGACAGCAAGCTCAAGAGAAGTATTTGGGGCAACTTGAAATCACCAAAAGAACTACAGTAAATATGGTTGAAGTAGAAAAAATATTTGATGTGGACTCAAACTTTATTTCAAATATGAACATAAAGAATGAATCCTATTCTAGAATGTTCCATCAGGGGCTTGTTAATCCATGGCAAGATGTACCTTTGCCTAATGAGCCAGATGAGAGGCAGGTAACAGAAGTAACTCATGATTTGAATGGAACAAAGGAAATTCTCTCATACCCTGACCATTTTACTCAGAACAGTAAGGATCAGTGTTCAGAGTGTCATTTTCAGTGTTTGAGGCCAGTTGAAACCTACAGTCAGAAAGCAGTATTAACACCTAAGAAGTTTCATGTGCAGGAAACCTCAAGGAAGTTCAGTAACTGTGAGAAATCCTTGGATGAGGTAATACTTCCTACCCAATATATGACTCAGTTAAGACAACAAGCTTTGGGATGGAATACATGTCATAAAATGTACCCTTGCAAGAATGAATTCAGCAACATGCACATGGAAGAGAAAGGTTATAAATGTGATTATGAGAAACCCATCCTTAACAAATCATACCGTACAAAACATAAGGAAGCATATTCAGGGAAAGAGCCCCAAGGACACAAGGAAAACGTCAAATTCTTCTGTCTGGATGCTGAACTACAAACGGTTGATCAGAAAACACACACAGAGAAAAAAATGTATGAATGTAAAGTGTCTGGAAAAACCTTTTACCGTGAGTCACAGCACGTCAACCATCAGAGATCACACACCTGTGAGAAACCTTGTGAACGTGAGGAAGACAGGAAAGCCATTGATGATAAGTCAACTGTCACGCAGCATCAGAGACTTTATACAGATGATAAGTCCTGTGCATGTGGAGAAGGCAGTCAGACTTCCCACCACCATTCACTAGTGTCTCAGTATCAGAGAGCTCATCCAGATGAACAGCAAAATGAATGCCAAGAATTAATGAAAATTTACTTCTATATCTCAAGCCTCACTCAACCTCACACTCCTACTCTTGAGAAACCTTATGGCTGTAACAACTGTATGAAAACTTTCTCCCATAAGTCACAACTCGCACGCCATCAGAGAACTCATACAGGGGAGAAGCCCCATGAATGTAAAGAATGCAGGAAAGCTTTCTGTCACAAGTCACACCTTACCCGGCACCAGGGAATCCATGCACCTGAAAAGCCCTATGAGTGTAAAGAATGTCAGAAAGCTTTCTATCTGAAGTCCCAACTCACTCAGCATCAGAGAACTCACACAGGGGAGAAGCCCTATGAGTGTACAGAGTGCCGGAAAGCCTTCTTCCGCAATTCACACCTCACTCAGCATCAGAAAATCCATACAGGGGAGAAGCCGCACAAGTGTAAAGAGTGTGGGAATGCTTTTGCCCGTAAGTCCCACCTCACTCAACATCAAAAAACCCACACAGGTGAGAGGCCCTATGAATGTAAAGACTGCGGCAAAGCCTTTTCTCGAAAGTCACAAGTGATGCAGCATGAGACAACTCATACTGGTGAGAAGCCCTATGAGTGTAAAGAATGCAGGAAAACTTTCTATCTTAAGGCATACCTTACTCGACACCAGGTAATTCATAAACCCGAAAAGCCATTTGAATGTAAGAGATGTGGGAAAACTTTCTCGCGTAAGTCATACCTCACGCGCCATCAGAAGACACACAGAGGTGAGAAGCCCAACCTAGGTGAGAAACTGTAGGGATGAAAATTATAAAGAACTTTCTTAAACTAATCAGGCTCAGCAGAGGACTTACACAGGTGAGAAGCCCCATGCACGTAGGGAAATGTGCTGCTGTGTCACCTCAGCCAACATCAAAACACTCATGCCAGTAATAAACCCTATAAATGTAAAAGTATGAGAAGGTTTTATACAGGAGTTACCATTCACTGTATGTCAGAGATCATATACAGGTGAGAAGCCATAGGAACTGTGGGGATGCTGTGTTTAAGTTACACCTCACTCTAAGTCAGTGACTTTATATAAGTGAGAAATCCTATGAACCCTCTAAGCCAACAAGATATGATATGATTCAGGCATAAATCTTGGCAATGTAAACAATGCAGAAAAGTCTTCCACCATTAAAAAAAAATCACTGCCTGAGAACTTACAGCTGGGGTGCCATTTAAGTTCAAACAACACGGAAAAAATTTCAACAAGTTAGACCTCACTGTCTGTCAGGAAACTGACCCAGGTGAGAAAGCATGCTAATCTAGGGAAACTCTTAAAGAGCCCGAGGAAGTAAGGAATCCTGTGAGTGCAAATAATCCAGTGATGTCTCCAGGAGTACTTGGTTTTAATCCCAGCTTCCCTGAGTGCCTATGCTTACATGTCTCTTGTGCTGAGATGAGGCTATCTGAACAACAATATACCCGGTCCTTTTTAAAACTAGGTCTCTCTGTAAACCAGGCTGGCTTCAAACTCATAGAAATCCACCTGCCTCTACCTCCCAAGTACTGGGATTAAAGGTGTGTCCTACCATGCCTGGCTTGTAATAAAAATGTTTTTAATAAAGTACAGTCAATCTACACTGGATCCTCTCCTTATAGGACATTGTAAACACACCAGTTGGGAACCATCTGAAAGTATTCTCAAAACCTTTTAGTGGGATTTGAAGTTTGGCTGTCATCAGAATACCATGAAGACAGACACACGGGAAGAGGACAGGGACTGTGCGGCTGTACCTCACCCACCTCTCATCAAAGGTCCATGTGAGAAGCCTCATGTGTCAGGGTCATGATGTTCCTCAAAGTCACACACCTGCAGGCTTTGCAGAGTCCATTTGAATGTCAAGGGTTGGACAAGGCTGGCATGTGGTCCACTGTCAGGTTGTTTGTCAAGTGTTACCCCATCCTCTCAAATTAAATACAAGTAGCCTGTGTTGTCAAATACTCAAATTGGTTGCAGTCAGTTGATAATGCTTTCATTGGTTGCATTCAGCAAAATAAATCCTAATTATTTTTAGTTTTAATTCATTTATCTTTGTATGTGTGTGTGCAGTGTGTTTGCTTCCTATGGGTGAATGTGGACACGTATGTGTCATGGCGTATGTCTGGAAGTCAGAGGACAACCTTAGGTGTTTGACTCTGTTTTCCACTTTGAGATGGGGTCTATGCATGCCAAACTAGCCAGCCTGCAAGCTTCTGGAGTTTCTCCAGTCTCCACCTCCAATGTCACCGTGGTACTGAGATTACAGATGTGTGCTACTGTGTCCAGCTTTACATGGGTTCTGGGGATTCAAGTACTTTACTTACAGTCATCTCCCTAACCAAGTTTGTTTGATTTGTTGAAGAAGATATCAATTCATACAACTTGGTGTTGGTTTTCAAATATACTTGTTAACCATGGATTATGAGTTAATTTAAATAACAGAAAATTGTGCTAATGAAGAATCATGAATGATGTTCTGTTATTTCATACACAGTGGGCTATGTCCTGTCATACTGGAGGCTTATAGTTGACATTGAATCCCAGTAGACAGAGCCAAGCATGCCACTGAACAATGGGCATTATACATAGCATCCCACATATGCCATGAGGGAACCCAATATCACTGTATAGATAATACATACACAACAAGTATGACAGGAAGAATGAGTGTACCCCCTCAGTGATAGGATGTATGCTCTCTTGAATGTTTGTATCCTCAGGCAAAATCTCCAGCATAGATAGATAGATAGATAGATAGATAGATAGATAGATAGATAGATAGATAATAGATAGACAGACAGACAAACAGATATAACAAAACATATCTCAGTGTCTAGAGCATCATTCACGTGGTCAGATCTAATCTAAAATTGGGCAGAACTATCCCATGGGCAAGGGATCCTGAACTTTATAAGAAAAGAAACTGGGCATGAACCCATCTGTTATTCTGCTTTCTGGTGAGAATGCAATGTGACCAGATGCTTTCAGCCTCATCAAGATAGACTGTACCTTCTTTAACTATGAACTAAACAACCCCCTTCTCCCTTAAGTTGATTTTGCCAGAGTGGTATATCACCACAGTAGGAAAGGAATATTATTATAACAATATTGTTACAGGTTAAATTATGTCTCAAGGTATGCAATCAAGTCATTGTCTCTTGTTAAGAGAATGTGACCTTATTTGATGGAGACGAGATATAGGGTGACTGATCATCCGGTGTAAATGGAATCATACACAGAGAGGAAAACACCATGTAATAAGAGATCAATGAGAACTGCAAAGTCACAGTCCAAGTATTACTGTAAATGGAATGCACCTGCAGCCGAGACAGAAAGACAAGTTTTTTATCCTGTCTTAAAGGACACATGGGACAGTGAAAACTTAATTTTGAATTCCTGTGAGAGAATGCAACGACTTCCAAGGGAAAGAATATAGTATACATTTCCAGATAACATAGGAGACAACATAAAACAAGTGCCAAACACAGGGAATTTATTCTTTCTATATAGTAAAAAGTGGTTTATTAAAGCTGTGGTTGCTATGTGCAGATATCACAGGTTTTCTGGGGTTATCACAGCTTGCAAGGCCATTGGACTTGTTGAGACCAAGAAAATGGTGCACAAAACAGATCCTTGGAAATTTTTATGGAGATTTGTACTTTAAGAGAGAAAGGGACCATTCTCTGGGAATTCTGGGTACGGACCTGGCCAGTTTCCAAGGACCTAGCCATTACCAGGCAGTGGTGGTCCACACACACTATTAATCCAAGCACTTAGGGTACAAAGGCTGGCAGATCTCTCTGAGTTTGAGGCTATCTTGGTCTACAAAGTGAGTTACAGGACATCCAGAGCTACACAAAGAAACCCTGTGTCAAAAAAAACAACAAGAGAAAGATAGACTTCCCTGATACCAGACATATGCATTGCTTAATAACTGATATATATGAATGAGTCTGACAATTGAACCAAAACTACTTTCTTCTCCTTCCAAGATCAGGAAAGTGGGAACCATGTTCAATTGTTGTAGACAAGAACATGAGACTTGCTCTGGATTCCCACTGAGAGCTATCTTTGTAGGCCTGCAGTTCAGCTCACATCCTTCCCCAGTGATCTGTCACAGTGCAACTTGATCCCATATGTGTGTGTGGTGAAAAGCAGGGCTCCCTTCTTGGCCTAATCCATGCCTGGGTAACAGTGGCTCAGTCATGGGTTCACTGTGGAAATACCCAGGCTTCAAGTTCCCTTACTATTGCTAGCGTATATTTTCCATTGCAAGGAGAGGTGAGCTCTAAGGACGTTAGGCTTCTGTCCCACCCCATTGAGTACTGAGAAGGTGACTATTGTTGACCCAGCTCCAATCCTAAAACACTGGCACCAGGAATTTTGACTGGTCAGAAAATAGCTACCTTTTCATTGCCTCAAAGACCCTCAAAGAGTCTTCGCACTGCAAATATTTTAATTTTTAAAAGTACACATGTGTACTCAGCTGCTTGGCTTTTTAGTTAATTCCAGATGTTGTCAAGTTGACAATCAAGAATAGCCATCACACCAGGTCTCACACATACTATGACTCTGGGATGATAGGCATGTACCACTGTGTCCCTATTGTTTACTTCCACTAAAGCATGAGCTACTAACATGACAGCTTATTTATCTATATACTCATATAATTGTAGTTCACAAAGGGCTAATGAGGCCCACAGTTTAAGGAGTTCTAGGCACTGGGTTAATGAACAAGAAATTTCAGGCTACACCCAGGGAGGTCCTAAAGACAGACAGGCAGGCAGACAGACAGACAGACAGACAGACAGACAGACAGACACACACACACACACACACACACACACACACACACACACACCATTGTTCTTTGTTACAACTATTATTGAAGGCACAATGCATTTTGTTGTGGTGGTAGAGAAATACAGTTGGAAGTGAGCCTGCATGATGCTTCAGTGTGCTATCCAGGCCACTCTTGATTCATCACTTCCTTTGGCTATCCCAAAGGTTTCCTCCTTTACCCTGGCCATGCACTGTGGAGGCTAGGATCAGAGAGAAAGTAACCGTGAGTCTTTCCATCATTTACACACTACAGAACGAGCACAGACAATGGGTGCCAGTTGGAGGAAAAGGAAAGGCAGAATTGTTCCTCTGTGACATACATCCTCATCCTTCAGGCTATTCAGCAGAAATGAGCATGTGCCCTAGCAGGAAACCAAAGGCAAACAGAATCCTCACAGTCAATCGTGTGTCAAGACAGACAAGACACTTTCCCATCACCATAAACCAGGAAGGAGCCATCCATCCCTTTCCATTGTCCACAGTCTTTTTCTTCAGCCTGCCTGTCTGAATAGCCCAAGCTAGCATCAAACTCACAATCCTGCCTCACTCAGGCTTTCAACTGAGTGTTGGGTTGACGAGCCTAGGCACCAAGCTAGGGTGAACATACTTTCAAGCCATTTTTGAAAATGAGACAGTTAGCTAGATCATTCACATCTCTGAAGGCAGATGTCGGTGAAGGAGACACCAATTCACATACACACACACACACACACACAATGGATTCAAGACTTAAGGTGTCACATTATAAGCTCATCTCACGCCTTTATATAAAGTAAGAATGATAAATTAAATAAAGATAATTATTAGGTGTGCTGGCTCACTTCTTTCATGGCAGCATTCAGGAGGCAGAGGACCACCAAAGTTCTAGTCCAGATAAAAGCAATCTCTCATAAACTGTGTGGTGTTTCAGGGCTGTCATCTCAAGTACTCTGGTGACAGCTGACTTGGACTGAGTGGCCCTAAGGCCAGCCTTATGTGAGGATGGTTGTGGAAGATTTGGATATAAATTAATGCTAAACAATTTACCTAGCACAGGGGTGGCCCTGCAGGCCTGGCTAGACACCAGAAAAGGTCAAATCTTCTGGAATTGGAGTTATAGACAGTTAAGGGCTACCATGTGAGTGCTGGGAATTGAACTTGGGTCCTCTAGAAGAGCAGCCAGTGCTCTTAGCCTCTGAGCCATTTCTCCAGCCCATAAGGAAACAATTTAAACATTACTTTTATTACAAGAGGAAGGCTCCTGACCTAGATGCTGTATTTGGTGAAAACCAGTTTTCCAACAGTTTCCGTAAGTTTAGGTTTAGTTGGTCACTTACAGTGTTTTAACTACCTCCTGGGGCTGGCAGGATGGCCCAGTGGGTAAAGACACTAGTTCTATGCTTCAATCCCTGGGATCCATATGGTAGAAGGAGAAAATTAACTCCTGCAAGTTGACCTCTGGTCTCCACATATGGGCCATGGAATTTGTCTCCCAGCCCATATGCACATATAAAATGAATGATTTTTATTAAAACATATGTATTCTTTGTCTTCCACATCATGCATCCTGACCTCACCCATCTCCTGTCCCCTCCCATCTGCCATCTGTCCCTGCAACCCCCCCATTAAAAAATAAATTTAAGATAAAGAAAAAGGAAGAAAGGGAATATCTCATCATGGAAACTACAGTGTGGCACAGTGAGCCATTCGGTAAACCCCTTTATCCATGCATCTTTACATGCAGGCGATCATCACAAAGAATTGTTGGTTTGGTTCAAGGTCCTTGGTCTCTGCTACACTATGGACATTGGACTGGACCATCGCTGGGAGTCTTCCTAGACATCCTGTTGCTGCCCTGTGTCGTGGAGTTCCTGTAGCCCTAGGTCCACAGGATGGCCCCCACGCCCACCTGTGCACCAGCATTTCACAGATGGAGAGGATGTTGGGTTGGGCCAACAATTGACACTGGTTCTGGGCCTGGGTAGTTTCAGGGTTGCTCAGCCCACCAGCACTCCCATCTTCACCACCAGGGTGAATTCTCCAGCACTGCCCTGGCGAGTTCAAATCACCAGCTCCTTTCTGATCACAGCTCTGTGCCACAGGTGAAGTCTATCTATGCTCCTGAGGGAAAACTAAGCACAGTGTTTGGGCGACCTCTTCTGGCAAACAGACTCCTTGCAGTTGTCCTGAGAAAATGAGGTGCACAGCAGGCCTGGCAGC